TGACTCCTGCTCAGCCTGAGCCCCCCGGCACCTGCTGATGGGCGGGATGAGAGTGAAGGCGTGGAAGGAGGAGGGGGCGTGGGCCGATGGGGACTAAAGGCCACAGGGGGGTCTTTCTGGAGCAAATAAACCTGCACGGGAACGTTTTTCACTCTGGTTGTTGAAAAGAATAGCGCCATTTTGAATAGTTTCTCAATTCCTGACTGACTCAGTTCGTCACAGCGTGCTAGCAGGAGCCAATAAGAGGAGGGTTACCATCTACTTTGATTAATGTTAACAAACCCAGCCAGTGTCAGTTTCACTCTGATATTCCACAGAAACACCTCTGAGCTGCCACTGGTCATCATCTCTGGTGCAGAGCAGGAGTTAGTGAGGCAGAAGCTCTCACCAGCCTCTAACTGACCGTCTCAGTGACTGGTCACTGCACCTTAGGCCAGAAGGATTTGAGCATAAGGAGATTGTGTGCACGGCTAATATAGATTAACTCTTTATTTATCGTAGTGAAACTAATCTATGTGGTTGTTTGTCACTCAGACCTATAACAAATCTGACTAGCATAACTAACTTTCACTTCCGGATTCTGGCTCAGATTTGGAATTTAAAAACGAGAGGAAAGAAACTGGGGGGGAAAAACGTGATTTTATCATTGGACTGTTTAGCAGACGTAGTGTGACAGGCAGAGGCACACCTGTCAGCTGTGTGGAGCTTAGACCATAAAGACTGTAAGAAGTAAGTGGAGATGGCTCTGGGCTGTAATCGGCTCTGCTGTGTCGGACATGTTTATGTCAATTAGCACATTAGTCAAGCCGACTTAATCTATCAAGGCAATTTATGGTAGCGAGTAAGATCATAGGAGAGCTCACACAAACTGTGCGGCCTGGTTCTATAAGGAGCTAGCCAATGAGTAAACAGCACAAAACCAGATGAAAACGCCTTCAATGGCACTGCCAGTTTCTCTACTGAAGATCAAAGAATTTTACTGATCTTGTGTCTATTTCATTTTTAATATATATGTATGAGTTTATAGCAGATGTGCTGGAAGAGAGGATTTAATTAAAGAATTTTTATAATGAATGTGAAGATCCTAAAAGGCCTTTCGGTGAGTCAAATTGCCCATGAATGCCTTCAATCTGCTTTTGTTTTTCTAAGTTAAGGAGTTGGAGCACCAGTAAAGAGTGGTTTAGGAGAGGCTGACCTTGGAGGCTGGCGCCGTGTCCACGGTGGAGGAGGTGACGGCGGTGGAGGCCTCGCTGACCGTGGTGCTGGAGAACTGCTCCCCCGCTGCTCTGGACATCATGCGGGAACCCAGCGGTCTGTACACACACACACACACACACACACACAGACAAAATAGGGTCAACACACTAGGAAAAAACTAGGAGCAGGAATCTCACATGTTCCTCCGTGTTTAGTCAGTTTTTCTTTAAAAAACAGTCCTTGCATTTAGGTCTCTTTACTGCTGACTAAACCTGAAGGTGTTTCTCTAATTTTGCGCTTTCACAGGCTTCTTTTCTTCTTCGGGAAGCATCCTCCGCCCAGTCGCTGCCACAGAGAAGAGATGGGCTGTTAAGAAGCCCTGGAATTGAGAGGTGTGGCTCTTTGTGCTATCGGCTGGGCTGTGTGGGAAAAGTCTTCAGAAGCCTGCTTTGGCTGAAGGAAAGCATGTGAACCAACGTGTGTTTGAGTGTCCCACACCAAGCAGGTGAACCCCAGAGAGAAGACGTCCCACCTTTGCTGCTCTTACTGAATTCGACATGGAGGACACTGATAAAAAATCTTTGCCTTAGTCATTTCCCATTTTCCAATTAAATTTGGAAAGTGTGAATTCATGAAATGAGCTCTGTAAGCCAAGTAAGCATTGCATAATGTGAGCACTTACTAGCATAACTGTGTAAGAAATGCAGCTCATTATACGTCACAGAGGCAGAAATAGGGAGCTAATGAGGCGATCCAGCTTCATTAACATGCAGCTATTCTACGCTGGAGTGTGGAGTGGGTGACAGCACAGAGTAGAAGAAGGTTAGGATTTGAATGATGACAGTGTGCATTCCTGCTTTTTTAGTACCAAGAACATATCACATTTTTTCACATCCTCTCTGCCATTCTGACATTTAGCTTCCAAGTCTGTCATTTTTGCTTTAATTTAATTAAACTTCTGGTGAAATAGATGCCTTTAATTCCATATTTTCAAATCTGGGGCATAAAGAGCCATAACTGCCAGAAGGAGGAACCAAACAACAGCATCTGACTTACGCTAAATAACCATCTTTTTAAAGTTCAGTACCAGAGCAATGAAGCAGTTTGGGCTTCTGTGAATGAGTCTCAGGGAGTTCCACACTGCTATTCATGCATGAGGTAAAAAACAGAAAAACTTGATAACAACCAGTCATCTTATGTCATACCGACACTGAGTCTGATTATTTCTGTCCAGGGTCTGGATTTCAGCCAGAGATTCTGTACAAGATATTTACCAAACCTACAGTGATTTAGTCCCACAGCTCAGAGAAATCAAACAGAATTCATCTCAAACAGATCTGTCTACCTGCAACTTCACATTTTACAGCCCAAACTTCTCAGACACTCTTATTTTCCACCCGCAAACCCGCCTCGATTCATTTCTAAATTTAAAAGAGGCAAAACACACTGATATTGTGTCTATCCAGACTCAGAATACTGAGACAGGCGGGACACGAAAATAGGAGAAAATTGGTTCAGCAGTTTAACTTCTGAGCATTGTACGTAGTGTACAAATGCTTCTAAGTTTATTATGAGTTTAAGCAAACAAATAGCTGACCAAATAGATTTGCCAGCATTTTTTCAGGTCACCACAAAACCTAAGCATGTGATCATGTCCTTCTCCTGTTAGAGGGCCTTATTGTTTTATTCATTGAGCGCACACAAAGGTTTTTTTAAATTGTCATTACCGAGCAATCCAGGAGCAGAAGCTCTGATTGAAGTGTGAGCAGAGAGGAGGCTGATTGCAGCTGAGCTGAAAAGGCAGGAACAGGGTGTTTGCTTAATCTGCCCACCCAGAATTGTCTTATTCCTGTGACCTTTGCACGGCCACACGATAAAAAAGCAATGTGAATGGCGTTTTTCTGAGACCACCCTTATCTTTCTACCAACACGTAACACAGCTATGCCAAACCACAAATACGAGGAAAATAAAAATAATCTGCAACCAATGCAGCTTCCCAGTATTCCAAAAATAGATACAGCTCTAACAAAAATAGTCCCATTAAATTGGCATGGCTCCAGTTAATGCATTCCGGTGAGCAGATATATCTACCCACAAGTTATATATTTATCAAAGCGCAGGGTCTGCAAACTTCCCAATTTTTCATCAGAGTCCCTTCATATTTTTGGTCCTAACTTTGGATGCATGTATGCTTTTTTTTTCTTTAACATTTAGCAAAAAAACTGCAGGAATTTTAAGGGCTGAATTCATCAGGGGGCATGAGAGGTAGTTACACAGGAGGGCAGAGGGCTACTTTTGTGCTGCTCGTGTCTCGCTGGATTACAGACATCAGGACATTCCCTTGTCTGCTCATTCCATTTCTACCCTTTTGGCTTGTCTGTGTGTTCTGAGAGAAGACTGGACTTGATGGAGGCGAAGAGCGACACCACAGAAGGGTTTCCGACGCGTTGTTTGGATAGCTGACGGGATCTGGCGGCGAGATGCAACCTAATGGGGCAAAAGAACGCATCCATCCAAAAATGGCCTGAGCCTGAAACAGGCTATTTGAAGTGACTTCAAAAGCATGGGGCTTAAAAAACAAACCTACGGCCCCATACTGTCATTAAAATACGCGGAACCAAGACATTGCACTAATGATTCCTCCAAAACAAAAAGAGCAAGCAAAAACGTTCAAGCTTCATTTTTGGCATGGCCTCGATGAAAATGTACCCGAAAGGAGAGGTTTGGGTCAAGAAATGAGGAGAGCATGTCTAAAGACCATAAGGGTCTCGATCAGAGACGTCAAACAGCAAAGGAACTCGGATGTACAAAAATGGTATGAGTCGTTTCCATTGTTAGGACCGGGCTCTCGTTACTCACTGTAGCGTTGTATGCTGTAAGATAATTCATGTAGATAACTGAATGTCTTTTCCTTTTAGAACTATTCTCTTGTGGTAAACTCTCTGGCTGTGCCCACAGATTCTCTTTTCTCTCTGTTACAGTAGACACTCGTCTTCAAGGTCAACACACACAAACACACACACACACTTTCTTACCACACTCCAGTGAAATCTGCATGAATTAGGAGCTGGCCTGTTTATGTCAGAGCTAACTGGCCAATAACACTCGGCTGAGTCCAGTCCTCCTACTGTAAGGGGCCCGGCCCAGAAGATAAACGTCCATCAGAGCCAGATTTGGGGTTCTGGCTGACTGGGATCCTCCGGGAGCTTTGTCTACTTTACCTGTGACCAATAAATGTCACATTTGTACTCTTGATCTGCTCTGGTTTATCCTCAGGTTTCCAACTAAAGAATGGGGCTAACACCATGAATCAACAGGGAAGTGAGGATTTACAGAGTCCTCATTGGAGGAGCAGATTGGGACCACTTCCTGGATCCGTGAGAGGGAAAGGTTCCGATGCGAACACGGCAGCTGCAGGTGAGACGTCTCTGACATTTCATAAGAAGATGTTCCTGCAGTGTAATGATTCAAAAGGAAGCAGGAGGAAAAGTCGCTGGGCCGACTCCCACAGCCTCGGCGGCACAGCGGACACACACACGCAGCAGGACACACGTCAAAAAGACCACGCCACGGCGCCCACGCAGACACGGCTGGACTCTAAAAACAGCCACCTTCAGCTCACGCTCCCAAAGAGCCAAACACTCAGAAAAGAGACAGGAAAAACATGGGCACCTCCTGGTCCTCCCTCCGATGGAAGGGCGCTGAGCATCAGCCTCCATTCCCTTCAACAACTCTGATGCCGGGGCGAGCAGCAAAAGCCAAAACAATCAGCATGGCCCATCTCCCACTTTCAGAAGAATTAGAGATAATAGTAGTAAAAAAAAAAACAGTCAGCATCGTCTCCCTTAAATGAGGTCTGCCTGACAGTTCTGTCAGAAACCAGCCATTCAGCCCCGTCTGCTTCTCTGACCATAATTGCTGTAAATTGTAGAAGTTGCAGCAACTAAGGGCAGTTAGAGGCCCTTAGTTCTGATTGGACGGCTTCCGTTTTTCTTGTTTAAGGCTCAAACTTTTGGCCGATCCTGTGGCCAGAGGAAGGCTTTAGTGTGGGCTTCTGGTTCCCACAGCTCCCAAACCTCAGCGTTTGGGTCCAGACAGAAGCCCTCACCATGCCCCACACAACAACACTGCTGTGTAAAACATTTCTCCCTTTTCTAACTACCTGTAAAAGGACTTTGAAATATCAGGTTTGATGATAAACATTTATAAAAACAAATCCAAACAGTACACACATTTAGAAATTTAACTTCAATTGATACTTAGTTTCAAATTGACAAAAGAATAGGACAAAAACATCCTCCACAGAAAATGGGATATATAAACCTCACCCTAAGGAGCGTTTGACTAATCCTGTGACATTTCAAGTATTCTGACATTTGCTGATTGACTTCATTTTATAGCCTTCCAATTGGGTTCCATAATTAAACCGGCAGAACTTTCACTATAAATAGATAACAATCCAAGCACTTATAAAGGCCCACACACCTCTGAGGTGCTTCAACCAGAGCCCAAATGAAGGAAACGAGCAACCGCCCGATCAAGGCTTTCTACAATGACAAGGATACAACCACAGAGTGACGACGAGGACATATAAACCTGGAAATACATAACTCCATGAGGGGAGGGTGGCTCACACAAAGACTTTCAATTCCAGTCAGTTTTATTCAAATCAAGAATTTGGTCCATTTCAAACCTTTTGCTAATTTTTTTTTTTTATTTATTACAAAGCGGTAAATCAAATCAATTACGATAACCGAAAACAGAAATTGCCTCGCAGAGGAAACCTAGAGAAACACGCTGGGAAGGCTGACTGGAGGTTGAGTGGATAGAAAAGATGGCAAAGCAAGCTCCAGGGTCACCAACACTGTCCCTAAAGTAGAGCCTGAATGGAAAAAAAGGGAAGATGTGGGCTTAATCTTAAAGATTACCGGCTGTCAGATCACTCCTCAAGAGATTTGTGGGCGGGACTGATATTAGAACAGTAGACTAGTTTATTAAACATGGCTCTTTTTGATCAGGTCTCATTTTGTCTTGGTTTCATAGTGGCACTTGAGTAAACAGAGCTCGGAAGCAGTCTCACAAACATTCAGGTGTTAATGATGATGGCTATCCAGAGCAGACGTCACCTTTTACTGGTGATTGTTAAGGGAACGTTGTCATTCTGTAGTGAAGCCAGCTGCTGTTGACCCTTTTAGCTCGAGATGGCTTGAGTCAACTTTCAGCCAACCGGTATTTAATCATTGTGTAGCGTGGTCTCCAGAGAGAGTCTGGGATCCGCTAACCTCAAAGCAATACAGCTATCCTGCAAACAGCATCTCTTCATTTCAAGCAACTCCATCGCATCCAAAAAATCAGGCACCTTAACTTATAGTAAACCACGGGTTTACTGTGCACAAAGGTGTGTTTTTGGCTTAGATCATGCTTAAAATCCCCAAAAATTCATATCTGCCCGGCATTTAGAAAAGCCAACCGGCTGAACCGACGGAGCTAGGAAGAAGAAAATAGACAAATAACTATGTGGTCTAAGCTCCAGAGGATGGTCTCTGCCCGACGACACATTTCATACATAACTGTATTCTCATGTTTCCATATGACACTGCTGCTATGGCAACAGCCAAACAAACGGTTGCCACGCTGCCGTCTCTGCTCCAGTGTCACTTCTGTCACCACGTCCTAAATCAGATGACAGGGAACCGCCGCACACAGAAACTCATCAGGAGATCTTGGCAACCCGGAGAGGGACATAAGATAATTCAGCAGTACGAGATATGCCAAAAGTTCTGTGTGTTCAGTCTGATGATGGTAGAGAACACTCAAGCCACTACCACTTTGAGTCAAGATTCCTTTTCTTTGTTTTTTAGTCCAGGTGACAAGTTTTCATCCGACATGCATTCTCTGCTTTTTATTTATCTCTACAATAACACTTTTAAATCAGTTTAAATATGATGTCGGTACATATCTGGTTAAACAGTGCATCACAAATGTGTATGAATTCAAATGTAATTTCCATTTTAAAGAATCGCGCACACAAGATTCAAACTGAACTTCCATCTCCAAAGTGGGATGTGATGTATATCTGACTAAATTAAATACATCCACCTAGTTTGAACAGATATCGGCAAAACAACATCGGCATTCCAATGCACAGAGAAGCGTTCATTGATAAAGTGGGTTTGGCTCAGCGGAATCAGTGTCTGAATCAGCCGCCCCCCCCCACTGGAACATTTAACCAGGCTCAGCTCTCCTAACGGCTGTTCCATCTCATTGTCATTTGCCTTTATTGTGCTGACTGATTAGGAGATTCCTGCCTCTGAGAAGCAGCCCTCAGACACTCTGCTTTCCCAGTGTCTCTTTCTGAATGTCTGACCAAGAAAGCAAACCTGGTGGGGTCTGTCTCTGACCAGGGGCTCCGACTCGGTGTCCCGAGCTAATTGGTCTGTCATCTGAAAGCAGAAGTAGTGCCTATGGGAGTGTCCAGCTCCGCAGGTCACATATTCTCAACTGCAATTAGCAGCCAGAACCAGAGTCCACAGCCCACAAACAGGCCTGCTGAGCACAGCCCTGCAGGCAGGCAGGGCCTTTTCCTTTTTTAAATTCCAAAACCGAAAAGACTGACACGCTTTCATTCGTGACCATATTCCAGATGACCTCGTTAGCGCGTATTCAAAGCAAACTCAGGATGGGCTCTCCTTTAGCAGGCGTCTCAGAACAGTCCACTTTTCCAGTCACATAAAGTCAGATTTTCTATGGTTTGGGATAAAAGCTCAGGTTTAAACTGCGTCTGTAGGTGAGGAAGGGTCCCCTATGGGATAACATTATGTCAAATATCAGGAATAACATCCCTGCTTATACAGATAAAGAAATGAACTACTAAATGACAAGCTATTTTAGAAGAAAAGGTGAAAAGGTTTGAGCATGACTCCAAACAGTTACATATACAGAAGCTTCCATTTCCACTGAAAATGTCCTTGTTCTTTTGGTTTTTTAAAGCCTTAGAAAAAGCTAAACTTCCCGCAAGTTTCTGACAAAGCAATAATAAGCCTGAGCCTTGGTCTTTAACAGCATACTTTCTTTTGGAAATGAACTGTCAGTTCTACAGCCAAAGCAGCAGAAAACAAACGAAAGCTGCCAAATCCAGATGACATCTGCAGTGGTCAGGAGCCCCACATTTAAGGCCCCCGTGGCGCTAACTGACCCCTCTGGACATTCCACAGATGCCCACTGGTGTATTATGTGGTGAGTGTGTTAGATTTTGTGCGTGCTGCTACAGCTGTGCACGTTCTCCCACAGAAGCTGCAGCGTCCACACACACACACACACACAAACACTACTACTACAATACTGAATGTTCAGCAGGACACCCCTAAACAACAACAAAAGCCCAACCCAGCTCAAAACACTTGAGCGTCATCACTAACAGGGCCGGCTTCACACTGTCCCTCCAAACCCTTAAATAGCAGCCAGGCGAGCAGGTGCCACTTATCTCACAGAAATGATTGCGGGCGCGGTGAGAAAAGATGGAGGATCATTTCATAGCTGTACAGCAGCCTAAGCTTCTGTATTAAAGCTGCCGCGGGTCAGAGGGCCACACAGTTGTGAGCAGCCAGACAGGAGGGAGCGGGGGGCTAAGACGTCTGGCTGCCTGTGAGGTTCCACTTCTACTTCCTCCTGAAAATACACCTCCCGCCAAAAATAGAGCCACCTCTGGGACTTAATATAGTCAGCGTGCAGGATCAGGCTGCGCAGAACAACGCCAGGCTGCAGCCACGTTCAGGCAGTAGAGAGAGAAAACGCTGGGATTATTAGCAGCAGAGTGCGGTGATTAAAAACGAGGCCCTGCAGCTCTTCCCGTCTCGTGAAGTGATTAAAGAGCCAGACGAGCGCCTCAGGACCAGCACCAGCTCCAGCCCCCCCCCAAACTCCCAGTCCCGCTAACAGCTTTATTTCCAGTGTAACATTCTAGGAATGCCAGATGGCAAAGCAAACAAACAAATAAGCAAACCTAAGCGACAATTAAGTGAGTGTTGTGTACAGGCTGGAGGCAGAGTGGGAGCGGCCACTCAGCTCCTCCAGATGTGAGCGCTCTGACCGCTCCTCCTAAAGGTCAGCCATCTGCACAGCCCTCCGCTCACAAAACACGGACATTACAACTCCATCAACCACATCTTTTCTTGTTGTTTCTTTTTGGTTCTTAAGTTGAAATCTCTCCACTTGTTGCTTAGCAACTGCAAGGTGAGACCCCGGGAAGTCAGTGCTCCTGGCGGTTTTCCCATCACAAAGTTTTGACACAATAATTCTGTAAAAAAAACAAACAACCCTTCACATTTGTGTTGGTGTCGGGCCGGGGAGGTGGTGGGATGCTAGAGAGCACGTTTTACCAATTTCAGGGCAAAGCGAGGTCAGGAGTTTTGTTCTTGGATAACACGTGTAATGAGAGGATTCTTCCTGTCGGCACAAAGCCAGCCGCTCCTGCCTTTCAAACAACATCCAGCCCCAAACTCTGAGACACGCCATTCCTAATTTGTCAAAGAAACAGGAAAAAGTTAGTCTGATCGACCAAAACAATGAGCTCTACCTTAATTTAACACAAACTCCACTATCATCGAGTATAAAGCTGTGCCACAGACTCTAACTGCTTACCCCAGACAAACTCCCTTAAGATACATATGTGACTGGTGAGTGTGAGTCTTCTGTCAGTATGTGCAGCCTTTTCTCACCT